TTAACAAAACCATTTTTCATTATTTCAATTAAAACATTCTCAAAGTACTGATTAAATTTAAAACAGAAGAACATGACGGGATTAGAATCATCAGATTTTTTGTTGAGATGTCCCTCCATCTAAATAATGCAGTTGTGGCTACCTGGTCTTCATTCTATCTGGTAGCATGAAAGGTGTTTCCATGACTAATACCTTCTCAAGTAAAGTCATGTGCAAAGAAATGAGGGAGGTTCAAGTCACTAGAATACAGACTAGCATACTTGAATGACAGTGATCATAATGGAAAAATGGAACATTTTAAAAACTTCCTGCCAATGAAAGACACAACTGTCTCATAATTAAAACAGTATTCTGAGGTACAAAATTAAATTCCAAATGGTTGCACTTACCAGCAGGCATGGATTATCTCAAACTAATGCATTCAATGTAATTTAATATAAATCTTAAAGAGTTCTTTGCAGATGTCTAAAACTGAACATCATTCTTTAAAAAACATTTTTTTTACTCTTTGCCCTTGAAGTTCTTCCTAGAAGTGACCTGAAAACAAGCTTTTTTTGTGCATATAAATAATCAGTGTGGTGAAGCAATAGTATTGCATTGCAAATTTTTCCAATTCATCCTAGAATAAATTTAACTGCATCCTATTGGAAAATATCTCTCTGTCTCTACACAGACACACACACAAACACACACATATACACAATTTATATGTATGTGATTGTGTATGTGTATATATATATATATACACACACACTTTGCTTCTCTGAGTCTCAATTTCATCATTATTAATTGTAGGATATAATATGTATTAATGGTGATTATTAAGACTCAAAAAGGTGTATAATTATAATATTTAACATAATGCACATGGCAAATGAGATAAACTTTGATTACACATGTATATATATACACATGCACAAACATATATATACAATTTATATTGTATATATATTTCTATTGTCTAAAAATAAGTAAAGTCAGATAAAATTTTAAATTTAGTATCTATTCCAAATAACACACAGACATACACAAGTACAGGTGTATATCTACACACATATGTATATACTTACATGAAATATCACTCTGTAAACCCACCTTATGAATTTAAATTTTTTTAATGATCTACATATTTTAATGTTTCTTAAGTCTAATACATGCATGTAAGTACATGCAGTGAGGAATTTTTTAAAAAGTATTTACACCATATATTATGTCTTATTTTATTAACAAATATTCCAATCTAATATTGCCACAATACCAACTACAGTGAACAATAAAAAATATTGTTCTCCATCTTAAATTTTTAGATTAAATGTAGAAGGAAGAGAAAAGTGATATTATTTCTACTTTAAGAATTATCAATGAGCTTATTTGTTGTAAAATTTTTTATATTATACAGTCTTCATTGTATTTTTACATATAGGAAATGACTCACTAACCAGAGCAACATGTAGATAATATTTCTTTTGAGAAAAGTAGCAGTGAGATACTTTTGACAGCTTGGTGATTTCCTTTTAGGTGACCTTGAATTGATAATGGTATCTGATGTTTAAGAAGCATCATCAATCTTGGAGCATCTTAGTGACAATCTTAGTGTCAGTTTCTTTATCACAGTGGATATATATCTGAAGTGCTAGCACTTATGCTAAATTAAGAAATCCTGGTGGGTTACATAAATAAACAGGAGCATAGAGTGAAGTCATTCATTCTTTAAGGAAATAAAGGTAATTTGTCTCAATTTATGTAAGAATGTGAAACAAACTAGTGGAAAAAAATGAAACCAAATGATGCATTTTACTTTAAATCACACAAAGTCAGGATATCTGTTACTTCATTGCCTATTCCAAAAACAATATTGTGTGAAACTTCCCAATAGTAAAATATTTCTCAAAAGCCAAGTTATAGTTTCTATCACTGTAATAGACATAACTTTGATCAATGTGTTAAATTTTTTAATTATGTAGTGCTATATCTTAATTATAATACTAAAGAAAATGACTGTAGACTGTGATATTAGATTGTGATATTAGACATTAAAATTTATCTGTGAACATTTCCATAGATTTGAATTCACAGATTTGCAAAATTTATCTCTGATGAAATTTCAGATTATATTGCATGATACTATTTTTAAAGTCAACCTTAATGATTAACTGAAAATAAGAACCGTTTTAAAATCTGAAAAGTATTGTTTTCTACTTTGCTTTAGAATAACGTGATATAGGCTGGGAACGGTGGCTCAAGCCTGTAATCCCAGCACTTTGGGAGGCCGAGGCGGGTGGATCACAAGGTCAAGAGATCGAGACCATCCTGGTCAACATGGTGAAACCCCGTCTCTACTAAAAATACAAAAAATTAGCTGGGCATGGTGGCTCATGCCTGTAATCCCAGTTACTCAGGAGGCTGAGGCAGGAGAATTGCCTGAACCCAGGAGGCGGAGGTTGCGGTGAGCCGAGATCGCGCCATTGCACTCCAGCCTGGGTAACAAGAGGGAAACTCGGTCTCAAAGAAAAAAAAAAAAAAAAAAAAAGAATAACGTGATATTAGAAGAGAAAGTGGGGTGGATTCATAAAAGAAAGGATCAATTAATAGTTCTAATATTTTATAATTAGATGATTTTTTTAAAAAAAATACCTTCTCTGAGTCTCAATTTCACCATTATTAATTGTAGAATATAATATGTATTAAGGGTGATTATGATGAGTCAAAAAAGGTATATAATTATAATATTGAACATTGTGTACACGGCTAATGAGATAAACTTTGATTACCCTGTCTGTTTTGGAGGATCCCTGGGACTAAATATTTTCTATCACCCTCAGATGGGTTTTAGATCACAGGAGTGAGTCTAATACTTTATACAGTTTAACAAAGTGCGTTGTTTTGCTTAATAAATTTTGAAGTCATTCCACTGAACTCTATCCAATGTTTATTGGATGAAGATTTCTGGTCAGTTTCAGTTTATTCCTTGATGTTCAGAAAGACAAAAAGAGTAAACCCTGTGTTGCACAGCATGGGCAGTGTTCTGTAATCTCCCTTGTTCATCCTTAATAATGATGATTTTTATAGTAATAGAATCTAGCTAAATTTCAAATGCTATCTGAAACTTAAATTAAATCCATTGAAGAGATATCTTAATGTTTTAATCAGAATTCACTATTGACAAAAGCAGTTATACTTAAATCATATACAAAATCATTGTCAGTTGCAAAATAAGTAGTTAAAATTAACATATTTTCATAGATAAAAATATTTTAGTAATATAAAGTTATGAAAACCTCAGCTGACATATCTTTAACCTTCCTTTAACTTCTATGCAGTCTTTTTTTTTTTTTTTTGATATTTTTAACTATTTCTGTAGCAAGATTTAATTCAACATTATTGAATTACTATGTACTTTACCAGGGGTTGGGGTAAAATTATTTTTAATACTTTTTTCTCATAAAGAATTTAGTTTTTACCTTAATAGGAAACAGTATAATTTAAACTATATTACCCTCCCTGTCTCTTCAGTTAAAAAAGAAAAGAGAAAATGAGCAAACAAAACAAAACAAAAAATATAAGGAAAAAATTGAAGAAAAACAGGATTAAATAAAAAATGGTGAGTTACTATCACCATGTTGTCAGCATGTGTATCACTAGTGCTATAAATAGGTCATTTATAATGTCTACAAAATTTAATATTTTCCATTAATTTTCTTTATGTTATCATTATAGTCTGTTGCATCTTATACCATTAAATCAAATTTATAAAGAGAATATTACTGGTACAGTGTCACAATTCAGTAATACTGGAGTGGTTGTATTAACGTGTGTATTTGTGTCTATCTCTCATATTACAAGTTATCACTGGAGTTAATATGACTGAGGCAGAGCTGAAAATGGATATTCTTGTCCATTCCTACATAAACATAAACTGTATCTGTTCTTTTTCTAAAATTAGAATGGAGAATAAAGTACTCCCTAAATAAATTACTACATAACAAAAGTATCTGGCACAACAGCTGAAATTGTGGCCACTACATGTTTAAGTTTGAGGTAGATTGTCAATAATTTTTCTCCTGGACATTTCAGAAGTTTTATTTAACCTTCCGTACTATGATAACTCATCCCTGAGATAATGTTCAGGTTATTTCAATTTCTCAGTAAATATTCAAAATACACTTCAAGGCCACTGGTGGTTCTAAAAGAACCATGATTTCACATGTAACACTTCAGATAGGAATTTTAGTTCGCCCCCTCTTAGTTTTCATTTTAATAGAAGGCATGATATTGTGAGACTCAGGGTATCAGTATCAACTCATACCCTATATACACAGTCCTTGAAAGGTCAGGGTATTTTCTTTTCAGTATTCAATACTTTTAGAGCAGATGGATAAAGCCATTTTCTATAGGTGCTTGTCATGGTGTTATGCGGTTCTTCCTCCGACAGATCCAACTTCCTTTTAAGTCACTGGGATTCTGATCTAAAAATGGCCAGGTCAAGGTGCTCAACAAATGATTGTGGCTTTTTATTGGGATAACAGCCCTCAGTCTCCTGTTCCTTAATTCTCATCCTTACTTGATTGTATATGTTTAGTAGCACCCTTGCTGACTGCCAAATTACTTTGTCTAGAAATGGTAAATCAACCATCTCTACAACTTCACAGGAGTAATGTCTCATCATTTCCTCCAGGTGTACTGGTTATTACAGTAGTTTTGACCTCTCATGTTTTAGGAACCATTAATCTCAATGACTATTAATGAGCCTCATTTTAGGACTGTTTCTCTTATTTTCAAACTGGACCTGCAGAGAGCAGTCACTGCTGAACTTCTTAATGATGTCGATATCCTTATAAGGTGTATTACTGATAGTCATAGTACAGGGTGTATTTTTGAAGCCTATCCTGTAAAAATGTATTCATCATTTTTTTCTTTTTTTCTTTTTTTAGCTTTGCATTATATGCATTTTCTACATGACCACGTCTTTGTGTTTCTATTTTTCTTCCTTTGTCTTCCAGATCACCTTACACAGTTCTACCTCACTCAGCTTCTGAGACTCACCTGATAGTAAGTTTGTCCCAATCTCTGGAGTTTCCGCTTTGATAAATTGTCCCCTGGTCAATTACTTACTAATTCTTATTTGTCAAGTTTGACATTCTGGTCCCCTGATTAAACGCTCTAAAAAATCCAATCTCAGAATAACTATCTCGGCCCTTGCCAGCTCATGATATCTAATTCCAACTTCTCCTTTTGTTTATCATTTCTTTCTTCATTTATCAGGCTCAGCATGCTCCTAGCCAGGTTATGCTGGAATTAATTCTAAGTTTCCTGGGTGCAGCTTCTGAGAAAAGCAATTATTTCCTAGTGATAAAAAGGTGTCTTCTCTACAATGTACTGTTGGGGCCTAATAGGGACTGATGAGGTACGTCTTCAAGCTCTGAGGGCTCAAGGAAATTTGCAAAGTCGATATCCTCAGGAGTTACATACAGATATCCCCAGATCAGGTGTTATGGTCAGATTTTTATACAAAGACCTGACTTTTTCATAACAGATCTTGTTTGGCTGGGCATAAAAATGTACCTGAAGGTCTGCAAACACCACCAGTTTGTCAGTCTGATAGTCAGTAGTTTCTGCTCTTGACCAAGTATATTTTTTGCTTGTCACAGCAATTAATTCCTTGTTAAGCAACATAACTTCCTACCCTCTTCAATAAGTTTATTCAAACGAGCAGCAAGCAACCAGTATTACTGTCCTGTTATGACTTGTCAGCCCTCAAATATGTAAAATGCCTGAATCATTGCACCTGAAAAGGTGAGGACTTCCACCATTTCTCCCAGTATCTGAAAGATAAATCCTTGATAGTTAAGACGCCATCTTGTGTCATGCTTTATCGGTGATCCTCCTACTATTAAAGATAATGTCTTCATTTTCTGCCAGTCAATGAATAACACCCATAACTTCATTTTTCCACCTTTTTTCTTAAATATATCAGTATTATTTGCATTAGTTTAGGGCCACCAAGTGGCAGACAGCAAGAAACAATTAGACATTCAAGGCATTCATTTTAGGAGGAAGCAAGAAAAGGACAGTAGGGTCTTTATATCATAGTGTTGATCTGATACACATGGAAGGAGAAAGGGAAGAAAAAAAAAGGATTACTAGGAAAATTCTCTGCTGTAGCATGATTACAACAGAGGTTTGGATTCCAAAAAAGGAGTCCTTAAGCCAGTCTCCTGGTAGAAAACTCTCATATCTTCCAATAATGAGTCTATTGTGTATCAATGTTGCACTGAGTCATTGACTTAGAGAAACCTGGGGAAAGTATAATTTCAGCGGGAATGTAGTTGTGGATCCAAAGATAGAGCATCTGGAGTGTCCAGTAAAATATAGATCCCAAAGGAGACGCAAAAGACATATTAACACAGCTGTCACCTATCTGATTTCACATTTTGTATTTTAAGTTTATGGGCTCTCCATGTGTCTCCACTTAAAGCTGTTAAGCAACTTGTGCATTAAGAGTGAGGCTGGAGAATTTCAGGACGATAAATTAGCATGAAATAAAAACATGCAAGGAAGAAAACTTAGGAAGAAGAGACCATACCTTATCTCAAACACATTTCTCTTACCTCACAATATTTCCTAGAATCAACTTTGCCTACATCTGAAAGTCATCTACCTGTTTAAAATGTAACACAAAAGAGCAATTTGTTACCCTGAAATATTTTCTGTGAGGATTGGGAGAGAAATAACACACAGTATGAAATAAAATCATCAAATTTAATCTCAGTGCATATATGTGTGTATATATACATATGCATTTTCCCCTTAGGAGTCATGTAGCCCTTAGTCTTTTAATATTTTACCTTTGCTTGTCTGATTCTACCATTCCAGGGAGTTATTTTAATTCCCTGTTTCCTTCTTTATTCTGTTGTTCCTTTTTTTCCCCTGCAAACTTACCTTTCTATATTCTACAAGTCTTTGGAGTATTAGCAAGAACAGTGCAATATATATTAATCCTGCAAAATGGAATCATAAGATTCAGGTACTTATGAACAACATCATTTTCCATGATGTTGATAAAATACCAAACTGTGACTGGCTAATGACTTTTGGGATTGTGCTTATGTTCACATACCTAGAGTATACATGGTTGTGGAGATCAATCTTTTGTGGTAAGTTTTTATAGTTCATGATAAAAAGAAAAAAGAAACCATAGCACCCAGGGTTGCCAAATGCAAATATTCTGATTCTTACTGGAACATATTTTGTTGTTGTTTTGTTGTTGTTGTTGAGGATAATTTCTCATTTTGGAGAAAAACAAATCCTGGGTCTTGTCACTGTCTGAAATTAAGAGAAACACATCGGTAAGATCAAATTCCTTACATACCAAAAGTTATATTTTAATTGATGCTAAAATTGTATCTTTCCACAGAGATGTTTAGTGTATGGGTTTTAAAATGAACTTTTTCTTTACTAGAAATATATAGTCAGCTTCATTGACAGGAGTAAAAAACAATCGTGTATAGCTTAGCAGCTTAGTTATAAGGTATATTAGGCTACAGGCAGTAGCTCAGATCACAACACCATAGAAGGTTAGAGTCAGAGGTTATATGATAACTGCCCCTTCCCTGAATGTGAGGGTATTCTAAGCCTGGGTTATAAGTGGACTGGAATCATGTCCAGCTGGTGAATTCAGCCCAGAAGTGCAGGAGAGAAAAGTACTTAATACTCTAAACATAAGTATTTAGAACATAAATACTGTTCTAACGAACAGTATTTAAAACATTAAGGATGTTTCTGAAATTGGTAGGAAAACGATTCTAAATGAAAACAGGCAAAATGATGGGACAGGCTTGGCTATAGAGTGTGAATTAATAGACTTCTATGAATTCAGGGCAAAGCTGAATGAAAGTTTACTATAGCTTTATAGTAAAACTGATAGTTTCCTTTAGTTTTATATTGTAGTTCAATAAGTTGGAAAGCAATAGGGTTACTGGAAAGAGGTGCAAGAGATAGAGGCAGTCATTCAGAGAATTTGCTTCTGGGTAGAAAACTGCTTTTGTTTGGTATAGCAGCTGTGTGTATTGTCTTGAACATTTCTGTTATTAATAGAAAGCTGCAGTGATGCTTGATCTACCTGCTCCACACCACTCCCACCTCTGTGGCCTCCTTAAACCAGAATGATATACAGTAGGCAACATGCTCCGTGTGGTTTCCAGAATTGCTGGAGGGATGCACAGTTTAACTCAACTGCAATATTGAATATTTTTTTGAGTCTTAACTTTAGTCCGTTTAAGATTCCCTAAATAGATTTCTTCTGGAATCTCTTCTACTTTCTATGCCAATCAGTTTTTTCAGATGTAGCAAGACACATTATTGATTCTTTCTATTCTTGTCTGATTTAGTAAAACTTATCATAACCAAATTAACATGAAAATTAACATAACTGAAATATAACTTCTGATTTTTTCCTCCCATCAAATCTATTTTCCCCCAATCTTTCCTATTTCTGGAAATGGGATCATCATGTGCCCAGTTGATTAAGCCTTTATTTTCTAATCACACATATATTATCATCAGAAACTCTTGTAGCTCCATCATCAAAATAAATTTAAAAACCCATACTCCACCACTAATGTCCTCTCTTTGCCATCATCTCTCACTTGTACTACGGAAGTAGCAGACTAGCCAATATTTGTACTGCTGGTCTTCCCCTCTTGCAATCTGTTCTCTAAATAGCAGCCAGCTATCTGTTTAAAATGCTTATCAGTGCACATCCTTTCTTAATTAAATATATCTAGTAGTCTACTTCATACTACTCTTAGAATTCAAAACTCTCTTTAATGGTCAACATCAGCCTGTCTGATCTGCTATTGCTTAAGCCTCTGACCTTATCTATTCTACTTTTTTTCCTCACTAAACGTATGCCTCTCTAATCTTTCAATTGCTCCTGCACAATTATCATATTATTTATTGTTTTATAGTCATTTCTTATTCCCTTTGCCTAGAATATTTTGCTCCACATCCTATGGAAGTAGCATCCTTGATGGCGAATTGTTTCTCAGAAAGTAGCCTTCTTCCCATATGTCAGTCCTTGACTATTTCATCTAGAATAAGCCCCACCCATTTCAGTTACGGTCTATTACTTTTTATGCTTTTTTTCTTGACAACTGCATCTTATCTGATTCTACCAAATTCATTTGTCCCTGAACATATCATTTATCTGACTATGTTGAGACAAATCCATTGAGATTTCATTTTTTAAAAATCATCTTATATGGCTCTGCACGGTGGCTCAAGCCTAGGTTGGTGGATCATCTAAGGTCAGGAGTATGAGACCAGTCTGACCAACATGAAGAAACCCTGTCTGTACTAAAGCCACACATGGTGGCATACGCCTGTAATCCCAGCTACTCGGGAGGCTGAGGCAGGAGAATTGCTTGTACCCGGGAGGCAGAGGTTGCAGAGGAGTCAGAGGTTCCAGAGATCACACCATTACACTCCAGCCTGGGCAACAAAAGTGAAACTCCATCTCAAAAATAAACAAACAAAAAAAAATCATCTTATATTAATCAGGGTCCTGGGAGGAAATAAAAGCACATTCAAAATTGACAATTTGAGAGAGTTTGAGTTTAAGAAAATCAACGAAGGGCAGTCCCATGTGCCAGGAATAATGAGAGCTAGAGCACTTCCCACCCCCGAGTCTGAAGGAACAAAGAGTAGAGTAGAAATTTGTATCATAATAGTATACATACAGAAACGGTCACTAGAGAATTGTGACTTCAGGTCAATAGACAGCAAACTCCACTAGACCTAGTAAATAGGAGGCAATAAACACTTCAGCTTTCTTTCATTCCATATTCCTTTTCATTCTCAGAATACAATTTAAATTCATGTTGTTTATTTGATAAAATAGAAATATCTTTCACTATTAAGCTACCTACTTTTTTTTTGTTAGGTCGATTACACTGTAACAATTTTTGCCAGAATATCACTTTTACGTTGTCAAATATAATGGCTACTTCCTTCTTATTCTCAAGCTCTCAGTGACACTTTTTCTAGACTAA